AGCATTGTCCAAAGCCTCAATCTCCTAGTTCTTTGAAATTAACCGTTCCGTTCTTCGTGGGTGCATGGGTTTGAGTGAACTTATTTGTTGCTATTTACGAATGTTTGTGTTTTGTGTTTCGTTTTCTTGTTGCTTCTTATGGTAATTTTCTGGTTTTTCTTGCGTTTGCCTTAGCAACGTAATAAACATAACATAACATATATAGTGTGAAGTGCTTTCGAGGAACTGGAATGATGACTTGGACACCTATTTTAGAGCTTCATGATGTAGTTAAAGAAACCTTCAAGAACTTAGGAGTAATGTTATGCTATGACGAGGCAAGATCGCTACATTTTTGATGACTCAACAAAAATTATCGAATCCTGCAAATAAATGTTTCATTCACCATATAGACCTGATCTGGCGCAATCCGAATAACTTATTTTAGTCGTTGCAAAAGTACTTTGATGGAGGAACAATCACTGAATATGAAGACATAAAATTTTATGTTTTTTAGTTTTCAACCAAAAAACGGAAGTTCTCCCAGGTACGAGCTATGAAAACATCACACAAAATGCAAGCAATAATTAACCGAACAAAACTGGGAATACATTATTGATTAGGATTTGCTCCCTAGTAAAAAAATGATTTGTGAAACGATCAAAAATCGGAACTATTTTCTGACAATCTAATAATTCAAAAAAAAGGCCCATAGTGCGTCCTTAAGTTGTAACGACGACATATGTCCCCCATCCAAAATTTTTATAAGAAATATTTAGTAGAGCGAAGAACTGGCTCCGGCTCAACGTGAAAAATATCAGGTTAGCCAGCTTCGACGAGTACGCATAGTTAATCTTAGACTGCCTGGGAATGCATACAGGAACTCCTGCACTTTCTCGACGCTGATGGTAGCGTGAGCGTGAAGTATAGTGTAAAACGAAGGCGTCAGGGCGGCCACGAAAAAGACCCTGCCAAAGTGAAGATGAAAGAGCAGCATCTGCAGCCACACCTGCTGAGAAAACCACAGTGTAACCAGGTAAGGAAGGAAATGGAAATCGAGGCCAACGTAAGCGATCACAGGGAGCCTCAAAGAATAGATTGCAGGACGTGATCAAAAAGAACCTCCCCGAAGCCAAGTAACGGGAGAAGATGCTGCAGATAGAAGGAAATTTAGGCAAGAAATGACGAAAAGAGAAAAGAATGAAGAATAAAAAAGAAAGAAGAACGAAAAAGAAGTAGAAAAAGAAGACGACGAAAACACATTATGTGGTTCATATCGTCTTTTCCTTTTCGAAGACTGCACTGATAATTGAATGATGTAGTCTAAGCTGGGGATAGCAGTCGAGCCCAAAATATCCCATGTAAATAAATAGAAGTACTGTGTACCCTTTCACAACTGGTGTGTGCTTCCAATCCCATTGAATAGACCTACTTTAACTCGTCAATTCCATATCATTCCTGAAAACCACTTCTTTGGATTCAAATAGACACTTCCACTAGGTTGCTGAGACAGTGCGCAGGAACACATGGGTAAGAAACCATAGCCTGCCCTCCATTCCCAGATCTCTGATGCCAACGACTCGTTCAGTTTGAAACATTGAAATCCCGCAAGTTCTTTTTTTTCAATGTTTACGGATCACTACCGTATTACCCGCGCCTTGACCATAGACCCTGGTGTCTCGTAGAATCTGAGGGCATGTTTATTGTTTCAAATGGAAATATTACAATGCTCACAGCCTTACAACGATCAGTTAAGAGAACACCATGAACTTCAAAATATAGCTTTAACTGAATACTAAGGATTCCAGAGGTAGGGACAATTTTATGTCACCGTAAAGCAATACTTGCAATGCAAATAAAAAAAAACAGTAGGACTTTCACCAGCCGCAACAACTTCGTAATTATTTGGTAAGGAGAACACTTCGAGTTTGAAGAACCTCACACGACGCCATTGTAAATGAAGTTAAACCTGAAAATAGAGAATAGCCATACTAAAGCAACCATCCCANTCATAAAACATCTTAATTCGCAGAGAATTGACAATGATGTACAAGACCTGCTAAGAGCCATAGGTAGACTTGCAATTAGTGGCCCGTAAGCGGCAGCGTTATCATATAACTCGAACAATGGAGCCGCTACCAACTTGTAATTCTTTGGAACAGCAAACATTGCTTAAAAGAATTCCTGGAGAAATAAATTATGGAAAAGTCAAAATATAAAAAAACAGAGGACCGTTAATTACTACCGACTCAGAAGTTGAGTTGAATAATTCAAATTCTTACACGACTGTAAGCCACAAGAACATACCCTTCTCTGGCATCTGCACGAGCAACAACTTTGTGTGTTCTTTCGGTTTTGTAACATGAGCAGGGATGTACGGATACTGTAATAATTTTGTAAGGATAAAAAGCGAAGATTTATTCCAGTGCAACTGAGCTGTCGTAAGAAAGGGAAACCATGGAAATTAGGAGTTGATGCTATTACAGGAGCAATTTCGTATCCGCATAAATTCGGATACGACGGTAGTTCGAGTGTGAGTAGAATGTGCTCAGCCGACGACGCAACTCAAGAATCGTAAAGTCAGAAACTTGAAGGCAAGGATGTGTCAACGGCAGCATCGAATACTCAGCTAGAAGAAATGACGAGCAGAGCGGTTCAGCCCACATCTTTTTCTTCTCTTTCAAGAACGAACTTTTCACAATATCTTTCTCTTATGAAAAAAATGCCATATTTTAGCGCTTTCGATTTGTACTGGAGCCTAAAGTCATCAAATTAACCGTGAATTTGAGTACCTCTGGCTTTTCAAAGGGTATATGGATGATCTATTTCCCAAAAAAGAAAATTCTGCAGTTTAACGACTGATTTCTGGAATGTTTTTCAGGAGCCTAAGATAAGGGAGCACTTTCTTGAGTTCGCTCCTTCGCCTGAGCGCGTATTCTAAAACAACATTTGATCAGCTACCAAAATATTCCTTTGATAAGGCTCACCCGAGGAGGATCGAAGTTCGGTCGCCACCAGTTGCCAACTTCATCCTAAACTCATCAGTCAATTAATTTGAAGAGAGCAAATTTCGATTCGATCGAAACGCACTTCTATTTTCCATTCGTTCTTCACCCCATCTGTCCTTCCAAGTGTGAGGTCAAGCAACCGTTTCATGCCTTCAGTCTCTTCCTCACCTACTTCGAGCTCACCGCCAGGGCTGTAATGATGTTGTACCGAAGGCAGAAAAAAATGGGCATCCAAGAAAATGTTTTCAACGTTCTGATGTTAAGAATCTGCTAGTGGGGACAGGACCAGGCCCTTTTGTGCTCTGCGTCTCTTCAATTTTCACCCCATCTCACCCATCCCGGAGCTCTTCTTCTAAAAGTTAGGGAAGGAGATCCGGAGTGGGTAAACCAATTGGATGTTCGGTCCTGACCCCATCCCAGCTTTTTGCACGAGATAATAATCTCTCCCACAACAGAGCTCCCCCCTAACTTTTAGAAGGGGAGGAAACCATCTCTGCGCTCTAGCGCGGTCTCTATGCATTATGCCATTGGTGTAAGAGACGCAGAGCACAAAAGGGCGCTGGTAACCCCCAACCACATTTTCACCCAACATTTCTAGGAAAGACTGCAGATACAATGGCTGTTTTCAGACTTCAACCGATAGTTGCCCGCCCGACCGACGATGTTGCTCTCTAAGTGCTGACAGAACTAGACGTCGACAAGTGGCTAGCGCCGCCGCCGGTCGGACACACGCACGGAGGGACAGTTGCGTCGTTGAAGTCTGAAAGTAGCTATTCGAAGACCACTCGAATCTATCCATGTCCGTGCTCGAATGTGATTGTACAAGGCAGTTAAGATAGGTGGAAAAAGAAAAAAAANAAAAAAAAGCATAATATTTAAACTCCTACAGTTTGAAAAAAGTACTGCCTATTTGCAAGAGAAGAATATGAGGAAGGGAATGCTCGTGAACAATCAGAACAGCATCCACAGAACGTCTCATTCCAACCTGAAAGTTTGTACACATGTTATCTAATGAATGGTAAACAGTTGCTTCCGTGGGACACCAGGAAAAGATGAAGCGTTTCCCAGGACTGGAAAAATGAACCGATCATGAACCGCCTACCTTTTCGTATTCCTCCCTCATCCTCTGAAATCGTGCTTGTACGGAATGATCTCTTTCTGATTGGGCATCCTTCGTTCCAAAAGTATAATTTGACAGTGGGAACCTGAGCGCAAAGATAGTAGCAGCTGCACGGCAGGGGAAATCAGTTCATCAAAATAGAAGTGAATGGATGAAAATAGGACGGTTACTTGGTTCTGAGCAGAGGAAATGCCTTTATTTGTATTATTGTGGGATGAATGCTTGGTCGTACTCCAGCGCACAGTTGGAAAAGCAAAGTTTGAGAAACTACAACAAGAAGATCCTATTTGTGTGGCTGGCATTGACAACTTGAGAGGGTATATCCACGACAACACAAGAACTTAGCCTAAGGACAAAAGTGGACTCTACAAGAAACGTTTCGTTCGACTGCAATTACTTTCTACAGTGCATGCGTTCCTCAGGTAAAATATTATTGTTCTGCCTAGAACTTACAAACATTGTAGCGGCCTAACAAGTCCAATCCTACATTTTCTACAACAGTGACATGAAATTGTCCATGCTCTAACTATTAGAACTCTACCTGACGATTTAAACCCAATCCACTTTTTCCTGTTGCTTCTTGCGCAGGATCAAACTTTTCTACTCAGTATTTATTGTAAGGAAAAGGCGATACTTCTCGCACTTACAAGTTGACGGAACGATGAAGGGGTATAGTCGGAAGAGGATTAGCAGCTTGCGTAGGGATTGAGCTTCGGAGGGCTGTTCCTCCAGCGCTGGGCCATCCATCAACGCGCGTTCCCATTGCGATCCTGTGGATAAAGATTGATAAAACAAGTAGAGGTGATGAAATGATACAACACATCGAGTAGTTGAATGTACTGCGAAACGGTGGCCCAATTCTAGCAAAACAGCCCGTTCCAGAGCCGACATCGAGGAACCAAGGAATAGATTGCTCCATGCTCGGCAAGTCGGTTACGTGACTACTTGAACGTTTTCCGCGCCTCTGATGGCGAAAGATTAGAGCGCAAAGAAAAATACAACTCACGAAGCTGGGATGGGAGTCTCGCCAGTCAGACAAGCTCAGCAGTTAAGGACAACTTTCAAAAGGGGTGTGGCAGACGAAAGTAGAAAAATATAAGCAAGCCAGTTAACACATTTTAAAGGACCGAGCTCAAGTAGTTCGTAAGTTATTTAAAGGGTAACTAGACGCAGACAATATGACTGGAGCGCGTTTTCTTTTTTGCGGATTAGATGTCTGGAAGTTGAAAGCGTACGGAACACATCTAGACTTAATCACCCTACTTACTCGCTTTAAAGAATGTATTGTGCATTATTTATACTTTTATGAATAGGCTAAAGAGTTATTCTGACATCTTTAAACCACATTTGAGACCTTGTTATTGATGACCTCATTGAAAGCAACCGGCCCAAAGAGTCCTATTAGGAATCAAATTTAAAAGAATGATAGTCCTTCGGTGTTGCTCTCTACAGTAGTTTAAATGAATTTCTTCCTATGCGTTTCTGCGACTCGGAATTTAGTTGGACCTTAATTTACTAATCTGGGTTCTTTATGTGCTGCAAATCTACTTCGAGCATTAGAGAGTAAGAAAATCGATGCTTTATTAATCGCGCATGGAAACGAAGACCCATTATTAACGCTGTGATAACCACTTCAGCCTCAAATTCCCTTTGAAAGTGGAGATCCTTTCGTATATTTTTCAGTGAACCTAGGAGTCACCTCTTGAAAGATTTTGACTAATGATGATGATTATATATTTTCATTTCAAGGATTAAAGTGGTAAATCATAGCGGGGCGTCCACTAACACTGTCGTCGTGGAAATTCTACTACGACCATGTCGACCTCCTTGACCACTGTCAATGAGGGAATGGACAGTAAGCGGCAACGTGTAAGTAAATTTTTTCAATACATTGATCTTCAGTCTTGGCTACCTGTTTGTAATACTTGTACTACGTTCTTTGTCCGAACGAATCGCTCACGCTTGCCAAAGACGTTTGAGGAAGACTGTTTGTTGGGAGTTCTGTTTCACTTGGTTTTGAAGTCTTAAGGAAAACTTTAAAAGCAGGTGTTGTGGTCAGCAAGCGGTCGGTTTTATCAAATATATACTAAAACCAGAAACAGAACCAATAGAACTTAGTATGCAGTGACGCCTATGCTGTGCTACAGAAATTCAAAAAAAGTGGAGGGTCAACCGATCGCATNCGCTTCGCCTTAGGAGAAAAAGAAACTCTTCGCATGTTGTTAGACTGAAATGAGAAGGAGAGGGAAGAAAGAGCAATGAATGAGGTAGCCCAGTTCCAAATTCTGTATAGGCAAACAAAGTACTATGGGAGTAACGATCAAAGTCCAGTCTCAAAGTATTCGCTTCACTCAATGCTCACTATATCCGTAACACTCGCTCCACTCTATTAACCTACCCACCACCGTGTTACTGCTTTACAGATAAGAAGGAAATGTGAGAGCTGGATTTTCCATATCACTGCCTTTATCATAATCATATTTTTGCGGACGGACAGACAGACACACCGACAAACACACAAACCGATAAACCGACACACCAAGTTAGTGCTTTATAAATGAGAAGATGAGAGAGATAATATAATATTGACTCGATTAATCTTTTACCAACATTATTCAAATTACAATTGTCATCGGTAAAATTTACAGGGCTTCAAAGTTGCCTTGATTGAGTGACAGTGGCATCGATGCCGATACTAATGATTGATTTAGGCAGTCGCCTTTTCCAGGACACTACTTTTTTAGTCTGTATCTAGAATTACGGTCAAATATACTTCGTGGCATGAATTTGATGGACGATTAGGTTCTGCACTTAAGGGTTTGCCCGACATGTGCTCATTTCATCTCTGCTCTAGTTTGAGGTCACCGTAAGCTTTATTGTCAGTGAATGATGGTAATAGAAACTATCGAAAAGAACATTAATGCAGGGCATGGAAGAGTTTTGAACTATGTTATGGAAATGGCACCAGCATCAAGTTGTCGAAACATACATATATTGAAACTCACTGTTTGCAGTGGGCTCAGTTTTGAAAATGAGGCAGGCGGAAGTAAGATACCGTCGTTCACCGTATGCAAAGCAGTATTGCTCTCAAACTGATCACTTTTGCACCGGACTTATTTGGCTAATACAGAGATTGCGTGGGCACTGTCCAGAAGTGGAACCGCTAGATTTAGGATTATAATTTGCGGAATACGTGTTAACGGTTGGAAGATCTACGCTATTTTTTTCTCTCGAGGGGGAGGGGATAAATGCGCACCGATGATATCTGGAAGAACCTTCCTGTAGGCCCTGTGGCAAATGACTAAGCTTTACTTATTTTATTGAAAAGTTGGAGTTATGCAAACTCTAACGCTTTGAAACCACGGAGTACCGTTCGAGGTCCTTTCAGCGTTTTAGATTCTTTTTTGTTATGATACTTCTTTTAGCATAAGTGATTGTGATGAGTCTTCTAGGTTTCTTAATAGTGGCGATGAATCGAAAAATGCTAATCGATTATGGTTCTGTCGTTTTCGTTCTCAAAAACATACTGCAGGTATTCTATTTGTAGGTTGGGGAAGAAAGAGGAGCATTTCTATTACAAGACGGGTGTTACTTGCATTTTGGTGTTAACGCTCATACCTAACAATATTCCCCTAAAAATGTAATTAGTAGACTCTCGAAATTGTTTTCATTATCTTCCACGGCACACTTTCAGTAGTGGGTGACTACATTAAGCAAACAAAATGTTGATTCAAAGTTTAAACTCATTAATTGGACTAGTTCCTATTGTTAGTTGTTCCCGTCGTCGTTCTTCTATTAGGTTGCATGGATTCAGTAGTAATTGTTTGAAGTTAAGGCTTTAGATACTCATTTATTACCAAGGTTGGTGATACGAAAGTTATGGTAATATTCATAGTTGCGCCGAGCAGTATTGGNGAAAAGAGTTTTGAAGAAACGTCATTACTACAGTTCGTGGGGCTTACAAGCATCGGTGTAATATGAAATCATGCAGAGACCAAAGGAGTTTTGATCTGGTGTGTTTTATGAGTCATTTGCAGGATCGACCTACTGTTGTATCATCGCTTGTCGGTGGAGCAATTGCTGGTGCTGTGGCCAAAACTACCATCGCTCCTCTCGACCGAACTAAAATCTACTTTCAAGGTTCGTGAGAAAATCATGTCATTTGACAAAAATCGTTCCGATCTCCTAGTACAAGATCATTTTGATGGCTAGAATCATTTCGTATATTAAAAAAAATGGAAATAAAATGGAAAAAACTGCATACTAGTTTACCTGTCATTTTTTTCTGAAAGAAATTGTACTCTCAAGTGTGTCGTAGGTTTCATTGAGGGTGAAAATACCCTTCTCACCTTTGTATATGGAGAAGAATTTTGAGAAAAATAAACTATGCTACCTTATCCACATTACAAAGGGGCCTGTGCATGTTAACTCCTTATTCTGTACTGCACGTTTGTTCAGTATTTTTGTGACTGTATTAACTGCCACACAAATATTGTTCCTACCTTCCTATTCATTTCTCTAAAGTGAACTGGAAGGCCTTGCTATAACAAAGTCACATTTGAAAATTTAGCATATTTGTTTGTTTTCAGTGTCGACTACTCGGGGATACTCGTTTAAATCTGCCGTAAAATTCGTCATTCTAACATATCGGGAACATGGGTTTGTGGCTTTGTTTCGTGGCAACTCTGCCACTATGGTTCGTGTAATGCCTTATGCTGCCATACAGTTTGCTGCATTTGAGCAGTACCGGCATTGGCTGCAAGTTGATGAGAACGGGCAAGTTTTAATATTATCTATATAATTTCGGGAATTAAGGCCCTTTTTTTTATCACATATGATTGTTGTTTTCTTAACAAGAGAGTCGTTCATTTTGGCTTTATTTTTGTTAACTACTGTTATTTTGCCGCGATACGCGATGCGAGAGTTCACGTTTCTTT